CTATGTTGAGTTCACAAAATACCTACAGTAAATGATTAGTGGCCACTTTTCTCTTTCAGGGAACCAGGTTTACATTCATAACCAGATATTATTTTTACTTTAGAAAAATGGTCACCGCCAATAAGAACTTAACCCAAGCTAACACAAGCTACTGTAGGTCACAGTAGCATTGACAATAAATGGGTCTTGTGCTGTACACCAGTGTCAGTTGCCGTAGATCCTATGGACACTGAAAAAGAGCTTAACGCATTGTTACACCCTTTTGGGGAAACTGTGAAGTTGTACATGGTAAACTAGTTAGCTTCAGCATAAATGGCAGACAGGAGGCAACATGGGGGGTAATGGGAGGCTAGCACTGCTACAACCTAGACAGTAGGTCCACAATCGCGTGGACAAGCACTGATTGGATGAAAGAAAAACTGGGCTCCAGCACAGGAACCACTGCCAGTGAACATGGTGAAAGTGAGAGAAAAGAGGACATACAGTACAAGTGCTTCACCCAGCCAAAAGGCCAGTAAAGAAGTCAAAGAGTAGAAGTGGGATCTGAGAGAACCTGAACACAAAGAAGGACAGTTGGTACAGAGTGAGAGGGGAAGGGGAATGCTTTCTTTGCCACAAAGAGACTGCAGACCAATTCAGCTCTGCAGAAACCACGTTTTCTAACAAACAAAATCCACCCGGCACCGCCAAAGCAGTCAATAAAGTTCTCAGAAGTTGGAGGTATAGAATTGAAGTGTGCGAAATGCAATCATCAGTTTCTAGAGACTAAATAGTTTTAGTGTAAGTGCATGCACATGCACTCAAAAGTCTCAAGAGAGGAAGAAAATCTACATTCTGCCTACAGCCATGAGACAGCAAAAGAAGACAATCTGTGGGAAGTGTAGTTATTATATCCTCAGAGGAGGCGGAGTCTAGTACACTAATTCCCACAGATGCCTTCAGCAGCTCTGATATACAGTTCAGCCTATAGTCAGCAATGAAAGAGAACAAAAATGAGTCTAGTCCAAATTAATCTATAAGCCAAAATAATTTGCTTGGTTTGCATGATAACAAATGGATTAATACTGGATTCAAGCATGAATTGGAAACCTGATATACTCGAATACATCCACATACTGTATTCTTGCTGTCAGGTGAACGGTTTAGTTCCTCTGCCTGGGTTTGTTCATGTTTGAATTTAAAAGACATGTGGCTTTACTCTGAATTTGAATACATTCTTTTTTATTCCATTCCGTGATTCTGCATTATAAGAGCTATTGTCTCCTCCTATCATGCACTTGCTGACCTGTCTCTTTTCTTTGCTGAACAAGAAATGATATGCAAGATGTGGTTCAACCAGCTCTACAGTATGTATTCCACAACTTTGGTATGTAATCAGATTTTAAATTTTAGCAAGCTAACATAGACCAAAAAAGAGAAATTAAGCTGCTTTACCTTATTTCTGGAATGGCAAGCAGAGACACAAATGTGCAACTTGAGCTTGACAGCTTTGCAAAGCAATGTCAGAAACAAGGGCCAAGAGCTGGAATGTTTCGCTTATTGCCTGAGACAAGGATACATTGGTACTGTAGGGCTGTATGTATAGCAGTTGTGTTGGCAGGACATTGCTCTCCAATACTTTTCCAAATTAATTTTATTATTCAAAGTAAAATGTCCAAAAACTGTCGTCTTTGTACTCAATGATTATGTGCAGTTAAGGGAATGGATAAATATTAAAATGACCCGACATATGCCTTATAGCAAAATTTTAACTTGCTGTAGATTCCATGACCATAGCGGTTTTAAATTAACTATCAGATGCACTCCACTAAAAAGCCTACAGTACCTCTTCAATTATATTGGCATTCAAGAATAGATTCTATTAAGACAGTCAAGCTGTTTTTATTTTAAACACAGGCAGTAAGTTACAGTGAACCTGTCACTGGGGATCAAGGGCATTCAAGACACTACTGCAGCATACAGGATTGTCAAAGGCCCATAAATTACATTTGTTTTCAGGTCTGTGAAAGCTTTTAATGAATTTGCTTTTCAGCAATGAGTTTCACTATTATGGGGTGACCAAATGAAATAAAGAGTGACAGTCAATCTTACCAAATAAATGGAGCCATAGAATTTCACTCTGGCCATTAATACGGGATAGTGAAATATACTTATAAATGGTGCAGTGAAGATGAAAAACAAATAAACTAAGTCTGATTGTTAGCTTAGGAGATCTGAAACATCAGACTTGCTTAAAAAATAAATTGAGATAAAGTCTATTTGTGAATCATATTGGTGCTTTCAATATCAGGATTATATGAATATACAGTCCAAACACTTTAGCTGCAATTCAAGGACAAGCACACTTTCTACTTTTTTCTATGCCTTTTTCAGATTTTTTTATTGCATTTGAAACACAATGAGCTCACTTTTTATTACTTTTCTTACAGTATATATCATTATAAGAAATGGTACTTTAAAAGAAAATAACAATACAATCATAAATCTAGGATGCAGATTAAAGTAGTTTAAACAGAAATGTAGACCTTATTCAGCAACCACAGAAGAAAAATGTTTATCATTAACGAGTTCTGCAGCAGACCATAAATGACAGTCCATCCAGTGTCCAGTTCTGTATCCAGTGCTGCATACAGAAACATGATAATTACGGCAAAAAGTTCTAGTTGTTTTTAGCTCCCTGACTTGTGATTATATCACCATTTGATATTGAGAGCTCATTCTCATTCTTGCTGTACAGTGCTTTACAATGAATCATAGCCAGGCTCAGTGCTGCTCTAACAGTGAAAACAAACACAGAGAGAAATGAGGTTAAATGCTGATTCTGGTCAGTACTTTATGCTAATGCACAGAGCTACAAGGCATGAGGGAGAATTCATGTCAGAAGGCTAGTGGACATATTTTGAAAAATGTTCCCCTTTGTTTAGATCTCAAGAAAGAGTGCTAAAAGCATGTGTTGTAATTATGTGACTGAATGCTCAGTTTGAACATTAAATCAGTTTAACCATAAAATTCTAAATTCTAAGCTCATTATAAAGGAAAAGTCAATTTTGTTTTGCACTTTTCCTATTCTGTCTCCTTTTCTCAAAATAAAATCAATGTTCTTTCTTTGGTTTTCTGATCAGCATAACCTCAATGCTTTAACTTATTTTCATACCATAGTACTCACCGGGGTTCCACTGAGACAAACAGTAATAGTTAATAGTAATAGTTCAGGCTATAGGACCAAACCGTTTTGTTTTAAGGCAAGAACTATTTTTTGTATTGGATTAAGGGCCAGATTTAATTCCATATATGAAGCCTTATGATCTGTGGTTTTCCTGGAAACAGATAATATTTTAGTTAGAATTAAAATAAAATATGGATTGATCTTGTTTCAGCAGAACTATTATTGCTGCCACACAAAAAAAGAGGTGACAAAGATAACACTATACCCCCTATCCAGGATCCTTACTGTTAAGATGTCTTTGACATTTTTTAGAACTGCAAATACACCACACACTGTGCTCACTAGCGGGCTAATTCTCCTAGGGCAGTGAACTATCTCTTCTAGTCCAATCGACAGATTAATTTTAAATCTCGGCAGAAGTCTCAGATGGAAACATTCCATTTCTAGCACCTTCCCTTGTTATTTATTCAAAACATGACAAAAAAAGAAGGCACAAAAAACTAGTGACCCCCTGCAGACAGATGAAAATTAAATTTCATTGTGATTAATTGCACATGGCGCATGAAGTTGGAAGGAAGTGTTTGATAACAGCTGACTAGGGGCAACATATGAAGACAAGCCCACACATCTCATTCGGGGTTCTCTTGAACTAATACAACCAGGGACTTAACGATTAAATAAGGATAGTGTGCAGTTAGCAGGGAAGAAAGAACAACCCTTTAGGTTACACAGGTTAAAACTTAAAACCTATGTAATGCTGAGGGGTTTATGAGTTCTATTTATTCTGTTATTATTTTCATATCTGATATTATGTAGAATATTTTCAGCTAGCAGAGTAGATTGTTTTATTAACCTTTAATGTTTTAAAATTATTATGATGAAAAGTGACTCATTTAAGAATCAAATATACAGACAAAAAATACATTCTGAAAATATAGAGTTTATTTTTGTTCTGACTTGGTCAGACTTTTGTTAGTGACCACAGGTAACTTTGCATACAGTATAGAAGGTGACCATTTGATTATGATTTGCAGCTTTATTAAACAACTAGTGCTAATATTCACACCCCCATGACATGCATGTAGGAATTTTACACTTGTTTTGAGCATACAAAGCCTTTTGAAAGCTCAAACCAAAATCCTAATTTCAGTCATTACAAGAAATGCTCTGTAATCATACTTCACTTAACTCTTCTATGTTTTGGTCTACAGGCTCCAGTAAATGAAAACAGATAATGAAATAGCTCTTGACATGGATTAATATGTTTATCCTAGCCATATGAGTCCCATTAACAGTTCAAACAGTTACAGGATTTCTCATTTAGAGCAGAAATAAATAGCAATACTATTTTTGTATTGAAAGTATAAGTATTTGTGTATAATCTTCCATTATACAAAACTAAATAGATTATAATGATAATCAGCTTTACTTCTGTAACATTCCATAAAAATGCTTATTGTGATTATTGGTGTAAAAATTTAAAAGATTTTCACATGTATTTTTTTTACTATTATTGTTTAACTTTCATGCAATGCAAAATACACTACAAGTCAGCAAAACCACACAAAAAAATAGAAATGTTTGCTACAAGAAAACAGCAAAACAAAAACTTCTACTACTCTGACTTCTACTTTTAATAGTTCCAAGAAGATTGTTTCAGATGCTTGTGGAATTATAAAAATAACAAAATCTTAAAACTGCTTAAAAGGTCACAAATTTGAGCTATGGTCCCTTTGGTATTACTTGGTGTTTAAAACCTTCCATTCCTCTTGAAATAAATTTAAAAAAATCCGTAGTAGCCTATTCCACAAATATGAGTGAACTGGTTTCCTACCTGAAAGGCCACTGATGATTGACAGGAAAAGAAGTGGTTTCCATGGTGACCCCATGCTTGGTCTTCAGGGTATTGTGTCCCCTTTGGTGAGATTGTTAGCAGGTTTGACGTTTCTTCATTAAAGCTGAGCCTAGGAAACACACAGCACAGGTCTCAGTTAGAGCAAGTAACTGCCTGTAATCTGATGGTCAATCTGGTGGGCTGCCTCTTGATCTTTGAGGCACTAGGTGAGGTGGAGGCACTAATGTAATATGATGGCAAACACACCTGAATAGCAAGTAGCTTCCAGAAAACTTCACTCTGCAGTTCTATGATAAGCATCTTCTTTTAAAACTTTATACAAAAATCTACAATTGTGTATATAATTACTGTATGTGATGTATTAAAAAATAATTTAAAAGCTAAAACACTGTGTTAAAAATGTTAATTTGTTTGTTTTGCATTCCTGGCCTTATTCAGACATGCACAAAGGAAAGATAAACATTAATTTACAATGATTCAGATTAATCAAGTATTATCCATCTCTTTGAAAGAAATCGGCACCACAGCTGGAAGTGGTCAGAAACTGTGAATAGAATGTCCAAGGATCTATGGGGAAGCATTCTCCATTAATTATTAATGACACTTGCCTTTTCTTCACCTCAATGATATTCTGCATCCCCCTGTTGCTCCAGTTATCTCAGCACAACATACGCTGCCGTGCATATTGATCTCTTTTGTCCAGAAATCATATCATTATAAGAATGAATTATACCGTTTTCATCTGCCTCTTGGCTCCTGTTTATCTAACAATAACAAATATTTTTATATTTTACTTTTGACGCAAAGTGTCTTAGAGATAAAAAATAGCGAATTTTCAGACAATTACAACGAATGGTTGTTATTACAGTATTTATTAAAAGAACATTTTACTCAGGCGTTAACCAAGGCAGAAATCGACAGCTGAGGAAAGGAAATATTCTGTACTAAGTGATTTTTCCATAAACGAGGCAGAGGTATTATAAGACCTAGGAACATTAGGTACATGTAGGTACAGGGACATAAACCATTCTCCAAAAACATATGCTATTCTACCTACTGGACTCAAGAATACAAAAGAGATTAGTCATAGACCATTAAAAAAACAATTCTAACAGTCACTTAGTTCAGGGGTAATACCCTTTTACTGGAAAACTGATATGCAGCACCTATCTATAAAATGGGTAGCAATTTCTACAAACTAATTCTTACTCCTCTTACATGTTACATTTATAAATGTGATAACTGAAACCAAACATTCTAGAAGACAGTCAACATAAAAGCCAAATTTTGCTTAAATAACTTATAATAAAGTTCTTATAACAAGCAAATGCTCAGATGGTATATTCTGATTTTTTAAAGGCTTTTGCTTAAGTGTAGAAAGTGAAGTCCCAGGATGTGATCACTTTTCAGAGGCACAATGGTAGACCATAACACTTACTGACCTATCATTGGTAAGCTGTGTTTGGCTTCAACATCTTGTCAGGTTGGAAGTTCCTGGTTGCGATCACCCCAGACAGTGAACAGCAGTGCTCTTAGTTACATACTGATGGCAATAAAGTGTTCTCTCAACAATCATAGCATATCAGTTCCATTCTGTGCTTTTCTTTCTTGATTTTCACCAGGTTTAGCATTCAACAGATTAAATCACATCATAACTTACATGCAATCACTTGAGGTGATTTACCACCTATGCAACATACAGTAATCATTAAAAAGCACCACTGTCATTCATGAATGATTAATCAAAATCACATAAAAACATTCTCAGTATATGAACTTAATTATTCCAGTGTCTTTTCTAAAGACATTTTTTTTTTACTGACTGACATAATGTGCCTATAGTGTTGATAACTGGTTAAATCACTGAACATGATGTGTGTATACAGAGGAGACAGCTTGCAATCTCCATAACTGAATAAAATGACATTATTCCTTTGATATGAAAGATAAAAATAAATAATTGTTAAACCTTTTTTGAAATATAATGCTTGTAAATGATCCTATAGAGAAAAACAGCTAGTTGCATTGATGACATGATTTTGATTGTTCGCTTGATGAAACCTAACCACAAGAGACAAACAGGTGCACATGAAATGAGATTACCATGTCTTTTTTTCAGATTTGTTCCCAAGCAGGGAAATGAGCCATTATCAGGGGCTACACAAATCTGTAGATTTATAAAAACTGGTTCTGTGTCAGAGTACATGGAATATCGACAGAAAAGTAACACGCGCCATGCAACACATGCAGAATCTATAAATTAATTTAATTATCCAGTGCTGCTTCAGGAACACTATTGAAAGGCAATTACTACCAAGCAAAATGCATGCATACACTGTACTGCAATTTCTTCTTTACTATCGTACAAGATATTTTTTTTTCTATTTAAATGTAGAAAAATATTTAAAACTGTCACGTTCCCTCCAGTGTAGTACAGCCAGTTCTTATTCAGCCTGGGAAACAGGAGGAGACATTTTTTTTCCAGAACATGTATACTGCCAAGCCATTCTCCTTTTTGGATGCGCCCTGCGATTCTGGAACACAGTCAAGCTAGAGACTTTACCCAAGGGGGAATCAAGCTCTTAGGTGACGATGTTCATTCCCAGAGGCCCCTGGCATATGAGAAGGGGTCACTGGTGTGCAGAAGGCCAAAATCTACCGGCTGCAACTATCCACACAGACTTGGCAGCTCTCAGCACCACACTGAGCTTAGGCCATGGCCAACAAAATGGGCACAGCCTTGAATCAAACTGCCAGCATCAAGGATAAGACACTCGTTCCATATTCCAGATGGGGACTTTCAATTTTATGAGCTGCTCAGGGAATTCATTTAACCTCTCTTTAATATGATTTATCCACCCATCAAAATATATATTTTTTAACAATAAAACAGATCTTTTTTATTATTACTATTAAGTGATTCCTTTTAAAAAACAAACTACATAAACTAGCAGTTAGAACAATATTTCACAGTGTGCATCTGATACTAACTAAATTGACAATAAAACGTAAAGGAAATATTTCAAAAGCGCCAAAGTTAACCCTAAATTACGACTAGCCACTTCTTCAAGAAAATATGTGAACCACTAAAGGAATCTTTTGTGGACAGCAAATGTAGAGAGACTAGGAGGAAGGAAACATGATCTGCTGGTAAAAGGAGTCTTGGCAGAAGGGAGTTGCAGTAGTCCAGCAATCTCTGGGAAGAGGTCAAAGTTCAGTGTGTGGTCAGGGACAGGCAGACCTTTCGGATGTTATACAGAAGGAATCTGCAGGAATGAGGCACAGGTGAGATGTAGTATGTGAACGGGAGGTTATCGTCGACAATGACAGCACCGAGGTTCTCAGCAGTCTTGGTGGAGATCACTTTTGCTGTGTTCAGGGTCATAGGGCATTCAAAATTAAGTGAAGGCTTGACCAGAATGTGAATTACAGGATGCTCAGTCTTGAATACACTGAGCTGGAGATGGTGGGCACTTGTACTGTAAATGTTTTGTTTTTTTTACTTTTTTGTGTGTCATAATTCTTAAAGCAAACCTAGAGTTGTACCTCACACTTTATCCCTCCTTACCCAAAAATCTTAAAGTACCTCTACAATAAATTCAGTTTTAGGTTCTGTGATTTTAAGTTACTACATAAAATATTATTAGGTTCTAAATATATGTTTAGGTTCTGTTAGACTTTTAGTTTAAGTATTTCCATTCTATTTAATAAAAAAATAAATGTCTGTTATATATAGTAGGATTTTCTCTTCACCTGAGAAGCAGTATTATATTTAAAAAAAACGATGAATTGTAAAAGAATAAAAAATATATACTAGTCACATTATGTGTGACAAGTACAACCTAATTTGATTTGAATTAGAAGCACATCACTAGAGTGTCAGATTAAATCGTCACAATCCCCATTCCTTTCTTTACTATTTTTTAGAAGGTAGTAGTGCCACTTGAAGACCAAAGATGAATTCAATAAATTCTAATGATCTTATCATCTGTGTTTCAAAAGCACTGAACTAAGTTGAAAAAAACACCGGAGTAGAACTGTCTTTTGAGGGTTGAGGGAAGCAATCAGTTTCCAGCAAACTCTGTGTATAGATGAGCATGATAGGTCAAATACAGGTACTTCATTTCAAACTGTTCTCCTCATGTTCACCTTGCAGTTGGGAGGTTTCATAAAACTTTAAGTAATTAATGTACTGTATATATTCAAATTTGTAGACAGACTGCCACTTATTTTGGAAAAATCTGTACACTTTATAATTTGAAATAATAATGTTTAGCAAGTGAGGGGAATCACAATCTATTCTATCCATGAGGAAGAAGACAAAATCTATTGCTTAGAACAATGTTTTTATTTCTATTTCTCTTTTCTATATTTGTGGAAAGCTGTATCTCTGTACTGTATCATTTTCTGCAAAAAGCATGATACAGAATTCACTGCATACTTCTTTGCTGTCGATTATTTTTGTTGTAAACGGTTTTAAAGCTGCAGCCTCCAAATATTTAATCAACACACAAGGTATACTGTACTATATATACATCCGAAAAAAAATGGAATGAGAATACAAAAACCCAGTGTGAAAGATACTTAAAGTGAAATGAAAGTGTGAATTATTTTACAAGTTCTTATTTATCAGAGGTGGGGGGGAGAAAATATAGCTGAAGAGTTATTGGAATTTATGTTGCAGCCATTACCTTTGCATACTTCTATAGATGTGTGCAACAAAGTAAAAGGGAAAAAAATCGAGATACCGTACATTGTGGGAGAGAAGGTACAGCACCTGAAAATATAATAAAAAGGCAATAAGTTGCCAAGGGTTTGTTGATAGATTTTCAAAGAGCATGTTATTTTCCCAAAGGTAACTAACAAAATTGTATTTCCCAATCACAACAACAAGCAGATTACTTTTACTTAGCATTTTGAATACTAATATTCACCATAGCATATGGTAGATTCTTGATATGAATGAGTAGCTGTTCTCCACCTGAACTGAGATTATGAATTAAATTGCATCTGAATCACAAATATTGAAGGTTTGAAAGGCTTTCCTCTTATACAGGAAGCTGGTACTTAAAAATCATAAAGCTACATGTAAATTATTTCCCAAGATTC